TCTGTCAGTCTGCATGATACCAGGGGCTTTATCTTGCTCACTACTGTACCTCCTGCACCTGGTGCAGCTTAGGTTTCCAGGAACATTCACAGAATTGTGTGTAACCTCTCTGAGCTTCAGTTTCTTATCTATATACTAGAGGCCGGATGCATGAAATTCATGCAAGAGTAGGCCTTCACAAGTCCTGGCTGCCTTGGCCCTTGCAGCCCTGGCTTCGTCTGGAAGGTCGCCCAAGTCATTTGGGTGGTCGTTCCACTGTTCAGTCGATTTGCACATTACACTTTTATTATCTATATATATAAAAGCCTAAGTGACCATTATAACCGAACGGCTGGAACGACGAGTCACTATGACGCACAATGACCACCACAGGACAGCTCCTGCATTGAGTGTCTGCCCCCTGGTGGTCAGTGCACTCCCATAACCAATCTCCCTTGGCTGGCTAACATCCCACAGTCCCTCCCCCTGGCCAGCAGGCCCTGGGCTGGGACAGGAAACCAGGGGTGGGTGATGGCAGATGGCCAACCTCCAGTGGCCAACCTCCCTTGGTCCCTCCCCCTGTCCCTCTCCCCATCTAGCAGAGCCTGGTGGCAGTGTGGTGGTGAGAGAAGGAAGAGGTGGGTAGGCAGGGAACCACACAGTGGCGGGGTGCCAATGGGTGGCGTCGGCATCTGGCATCCGTTCCTTCTGCACCTGGCCTGGCGACCATCGCCTCCTCTCCCAACCCCACTGGGGCCTCTGGGCCCTGATTGGTCCAGCCCCTGATCCTAGGAACCCCATCCATGCACAAATTTCATGCTCTGGGCCTCTAGTTACAGATATAAAAGCCTAAGCAACCATTACAACCAAACAGCTGATTGTTATGATGTACTGACCACCAGGCGGCAGATGTTCAACACAGGAGCTGCCCCCTGGTGGTCAGTGTGCTCCCACAGCCAACCTCCTGTGCCCCCCCAACCCTTGGCCAGCTGGCCAACCTCCCATGGTCCCTCCCCTCGAGTGGACACCCTCCCTCAATCCCTCCACCTGGCCAGCCAGCCAGCCGGCCAGCTGGCCCCAATCAGCCCCGATTGCCGCACTGGGCCTCTAGTCTATAATATGAAGCCAATGATAGTACTTCCTTCAGAGACTTAGGGTGAGGATCACATAAGATAATGCAGGTAATATAAATAAGGTGCTTGGCATAGTGCCTGGCACATAGGAAATGCTTTAAAAATATACCAGTGATGGTGACTGAGCTTGGTGGAAGACGGCTCTGCCACAGACTTGCTGTATGACCTTGGACGGACAAGTCCTTTGCCTTCTCTGGGCCTGTTCCTTCACCCCTATTACCAATAGTAGAAAAGATCATTTTGTCCCTGCACAGGATAGTTGGAAAGCTCAGGGAAGGAACTGAAAGTGAAGATTCTTTTAAATTTTTAGTGAGGCAGCAAGTTTCATATCAGCATGAGCAATTCATAGACCAGCTGTTGTTGATTTAGTCAGAAGTTCAGCACACAGGCCTTTTGGAACTTGTTGAGTGGCTTTTTATGTTGGAGAACTTGAGGTAAGTAGCGATAACACCAGTTGAGATATGTGGGTTCAAGCCCTGTTCAAGAGTTGACCTTTAGACCTGATTGAACAGATTAAACCTCTATAAATAAGCAAGGACATCTCAATCTTATCTGTCATGTTAGCTATTGTGCCAGGCACTTGAAATAAAGGGCCACTAATGCTCTCTACAACCTTGACAAGTGGAAATCATTACCCCATTTTATAAGTGAGTAATTTGAGGCTCAGAGAGGTTAAGTGCCCAAAATAGAGGTCAGATAAAGATGGAAAGGGTCAAGCTGGGCAGGGTCAGGCTATAGCTCACGCACTTGTGCAACACAGCAATCTCATTTTCCATGCTGCCCTCCTTGCCTTCCAGAGCCTTCTTGGCGATGCATTTGATGGCCACCAGCTTCTGAGTTCTTTTGTCTTCTGCCAGGATTACCTCTGAGAAGGCCCCACTGCAGGGAAAAGTATTCATGAGACAAGGACCTGGAACCCCAGTTTCCCTCCAACCTTTCCTCCATTTTCTATGGGTTATGTGACCAAGGAGCTGGGATGAGACTCCCCCATAACTCATCTATCCTCAAGTGCCAATTGGAGTCGTCTGTGCCCTGGCCACAGTAATTGTGGTCATGTGATGCAAGCCAGGTTATTGGCACTTTGAGAATGTGGTGCTCTGTCCTGCTAAACTGGTAGAATATAAGCCTAGGAATAATGGTAGTCATCTTCTCACCACTCGGGGAGAACCTGCTTGAGAATGAAGCCAGTACAAAGGAAATCAGAACTGAGAAATAGTCCAAGACAATTTCCTGATAACATAATGTGAGCCCCTGGATCCAGCCATGCCTGGGCTTCTTATGTGCATGATTGATTCCTTTTTCTGCTGAAGCCAATTTGAGTCACAGCTAATTTAATACCCTTTGAAACCTTAAAATACCATCAGCATTACCTGGAAACTGTTTATAAATGCAGAAACTCTGGTCCCATCCCAGACCTACTAACTCAGAATCTGCATTTTAAATAAGATGCTTGAGTGATTTGTATATTCACTGAAGTTTGAGAAGCAATGCTTTACAACAGGCTCATAGAAAGGAATAAACTCAGTTGCACTGGAGTTCACTGATTAAGGAGGGTTTACTAGAGTATTTTTTCTACAACATTTTTAAAAAAATATATTTTATTGATCTTTTACAGAGAGGGATGGAGAGGCAGAAACACCAATGAGAGAGAAACATCGAGCATCTGCCTCCTGCACACCCCTTACCGGGATGTGCCCACAACCAAGATACATGCCCTTGACCGGAAACGAACCTGGGACCTTTCAGTCCGCAGGCCAACACTATCCACTGAGCCAAACTGGTTTTGGCAATTTTTTTCTACAACATTTTTTATAGTAGTCATAGTCAAAGAAAAGCATCTCTCATGGTAAAATCTAGTGATTGTGGTAGTCTCATTGCTGGTTTCCAGCCCTGTTCCTCTCCAACAAACTCTCCATATTGTGGTCAGAGTGACCATCTTGAATTGCAAACCTGCCAAAAAGTCTTAAATGTCTTCCCACGGCCTGTGGGATAAAGTGCAGCCTCCATAGTTTGGCTTTCAAGGCCATGCATGACCTGTTCCCTTCTCTCCTCCAGCCTTTTCCATTTTTCCCAGTCTCTGATGATAAGCTCCACTTGACTCTACTCCTTTCCACAGAAAACATGCCTCTGAGCCTTTGCTTATGCTATTCCTTCTGCTGGGAATGTGCTTCTCTTTCTCGGACAAGTACACTCCTACCCATCTTTTAATACCCAGCTCTAATGCCCCCTTCTCCAGAAAATATTTCCCCAGGCAGAAGCCACTGCTCTCTCTTCGCTCTCCAGAGTCCTCATTCTCTTCTTTAATTGGAGCCCAGCATGCACCCTGTTGGCATTTTCCATGTGCCTGTCTCCCTCACATGTTTGAGATCAACTTGAGGGCAGAGACCGGGTTTGAGTTATTTCTGGACTCCCAGCATGAACAGCAGAGCCATGCCCAGCTGTAGATGCCAGACGTAGGCCAGAACTCCCAGCCCTTGGCAGCAAGTTGAATAAACTGGCTCCTTCATTCTCCCCAATGTCCTTCTCTCCATGGGAACCCAGAGCTATGGCAAGAGCAGCCCCTGTTCTATTCACTGCCAGCCAGAAATAAAAAGCAAAGTATCAGCCATGGCAAAGCTGCCATGGGGCTGGGCTGTAAGAAACAGGAAGTAGTGATCAACTGACCAGAGGAAGCACCACCCTGGACTCGGCCTTCCCAGCCAACCAGGCCAAAAGTGAGGACCTTCCCAACCCCACCCCTCAGCTCAGGGACAGCCCCCATTCTCTCCTGCCTTGAAACTCACGTTCCCAGAACATCACGGAAGTCGTAAATGTCCCTAATGTCCTCCGCCTGCTTCCAGTTTGGGCCTTCCACAGCCCCCGGCATGGCCCACTGCCCCCCGGCCACAGCCAGGGCTCCTAGAAAGGGGAATGGAGGGAAAAGACTCCGTAAGGCCCAGACTTCTATGTCGGAACGTACTGGGAGCCCCATTCTGTCATTCAGGCTGCATCTAGTCATTCTTTGATTCATTGACACAATCATTCAATAAACAATTATTCATTCACTAGTCATTTATTTATTTAGGAAACCCTTATGCCTAGAGGAAAATCCTTCATGTTGCTAGCAAAATTCTTAATTCAACAAAGTCATTCACTCATTCATTCATTTATTCAGCTTACCTCCCAGTTCCTCTCTCTCCAAATCCAAACACTCAAGGGGACCCTGACTTCCCAAAGGACACCAGAGAAGGTCTCAGAACAACTTGTAGAAGCACAAAAGCTGGGAGGAACCCCATTTCCCTAGAACCAGCAATGTCCCAGCCCCACACCGGAATTGCTGGGGTGTCTCCTCTCCCTCCTCCTCATCCCCACTCAGCCTCTCGGAAATCAGGCTTCCGGCAGCCAGGGCTTTCAGCAATATCTCAGCCACAGTTTTAAATAGCTCCTTCTGCATAGTTGCCATGGCAACAGCAGCCACAGCTGGAACTGGCCAGGATTCCTATTTCCCCCTTCCCACCTGACTCCCTATCTGGGTCTCAGCAGCTCAAGAAATGGTCCCACCCAGCCTGTCCCCTCCTGACTTCACCTGACCCTGATCCGGCCTCTGCCTTATTCTGCTGCGATTCTGTCTGCAGGAGAGGATGGGAGTTATTTCTCCATTTATCAGGTGGTGAATGTGGAGTCAGAGGTCCAGTTTCCCAAAGGACTAAGTCTGCTGAGGGCAAAGGCCTTAGAGGGGTCCTTCCTGGGTTGAAAGGCCTGACCTCAGCTGGTCCTTCCAAAATGCAGCCAGATGGGGCCCATACAGCCCCTCAGTCCCATCCCAGGCCCACAAAGGAAGAGGCTGAAGCAGAGCCTGGCGTGCTGTAACCTCAGTGAAGGCCCTTTCCTTCTCTCTCTCCTCTGCAGACTGGGGAAGGTGCCCTGACTACAGACTCCGGTGCGAGATCCCACCTCCTTCCCAGGGGAGCTGGCCAGCCACATCTTCAGGAAATGAGACTTGATGGTAAGCTCTAGAGGCAGAGATTTATTTATTTTAATTTTTTTAGAGGCAGTTTTAAAACTCACCTGGAGGCTAGCACATACAGCCCTCACAGTTTCAAACATGTCCCCGTACCCAGACACACCACACCAAGCCCCACCCACACCTCTAAACCCAAACACCTACCCACAGATCCAGTACACTCCCTGACACCTGATAATATATGCACACCCAGACATCAGCACATATATCCAAACACATGATCCCCAGGCATCCTCACACCTAAACATCCCTCCCACAGATCGCTCTCACACCTTGACACACATCTGTATGTACCTAGATCAGATGATACCCCAAAAAAATTCACTCATACCCTTCACTCTCCAGATCCAATACACTCTAGAAGCTCCAAAACTAGAAACCGAACCCCAATGATTTTCACATAACTTCAAACGTCCTCAGCACCCAATCATATGCCCCACCCTCCACTTTTACTACCTTTTGAGATACCAGCATGCACAACACCCGGACACATATCCGCAAGAGAGACAGTGATTACCAGACATCCCCACCCATAAGGACACACACACCAACACCTGCAACTCTGCATCTGATCCGCATGCCTGTGCTAAGACATAAGCACATCCCAACACAGCCCCACACAGCTCTACCTCCAAATGCCCAGTCCTTCCACATTCAGGCCCAGCTGCTTGTACACACGTACACACACACACACACACACACACACACACACACACTCCCCACCTTCCGCTATTATCCATTCAATTCCCCACCGGCCCTCCTGGCACCTGCTGATCCTAGGGCAGAGGTAGTGGGGAAAAGGCCCACCCAGCCCTGCCCACGCAGAATCCAGCCAGCTTCGACACCCCCTCTCCTCCTTGGGGGAGGGCGTCCAGAGGCTGCAGGGTCCGGCCGCCCCTCCTAGGTGCCCGGGGTTGAAGGCGGGACGTCCCCCCTCTCCAGTACCTGCAGATGCCCCGCCTCGGGGCTGGCTGCGAGGCCCAAGGTGGCAGGCGCCGAGCTCCCGCCAAGGTCCGCAGTTGCTGAGCGCCTGGCCCGCCCGCCTGTTCTCTCGTTGGGACTCAGCTTGGGCTTAGCTGGCTGCCTCCGCCCGCCTGCGGCTCTGATGTCAGCGGAGGCGGAGCCTGCGGCGGAGGGACCAGGGACTAAGAAGCGAGACTCAGCTCCGGGGCTGGGGAAGGGGCGCAGGGTGCGGAGGAGGTGGGGTTGGGGGGGGGAGGGGGGAGGACCCGAGAGGATCTCTAATGCAGGTCAGATCCTCTGCTGGACTCTTCCCGCCCTTCATCTCCGGTAGGACCCCCATTTCACAGAGGGGTCAATGGAGGCCCAAAGAAATGAAGGGTTAAAAAATCAGCAGGTGGTCAGAGGCGAAGCCGGATTTAAACCCAGGTCTGTCTAATGCCAGAGGCTGGCCACTTTCACCCTGCCGTCTCATAGAGTTTCAGACCAGTCTGGGAGCTCCCTTAGGACTCTGTGGCTTCCTTTTCCCTCCCTTCTCCACCAACCCGCTCCTCCACTAGTGCCCAGAAGGGAATTAGCCCTTCACAGGGGCTCAGGAGACTGAGGGGGCGGGGATGGGGCAATAGGGAAAGATTAGGCAATGAAGAGAATCGAGACTGTGGTTGGATGGAACCGCAATTTATAAGTGGGGAAAACAAAGCACGAGGTCCCTCTGAGGCAGAGCTGAAGCCCCAATTCCCTGCACCTGGGTGTGGTGCCCAGAGGGACGGGGCTAGGGAGGAAAGGGGGAGGAGAGGGAGTTAAATCGGGATCCTGAAGGAGGCTAGCCAAAGAGAACCAAAGTGCCACGTGACTGGGCAGGCGCCAGGGGCTGATGGTTGGAGGGGAGGGGGGCACGAATCCGCTCCTGGGGCGGCAGGCAGGCGGCCAAGGGACCTGACCGAGGTCCTCTTGCGCAAGGCCTTCCCTGGGAAGAAAGTTGGTGCGGAGGGAGGAAGGGGGAGCAACTCACAGGAAGCGGGGGCAGACCTGGACTGTGACCAGCCAGGAGAGGCACATTGCTTTGGATCCCCACTCACCTTAATCACGTGCCAGTGCCTCTCCCCCGTCCTGAATTCCTGCATTGTCCAGCAGGAGATGGAGAGAAGATAATGCTTACCTCAACTCAGTTTCAGCGGACTTTTCTTCTTTATTCTCGGGACTGTGTCAGAGGGTGGTCAATCTATTATGCCCAATGTACAAAGGAAGATAGCTAAAATTTCTAAAAAGGCTTTAGAAGTTGGTCCGAAGGTTGCGGGTTATTGTTAAGCTGATTAAAAAGGCTTTAGAGATTGACTTATCTGAGTCTCACTTTACCTCTCTGAGCCTCAGTTTCTTCATCTGGAATATGGGAATTCAGTTTTCCTGAGAATTCTAAGATATTGGATGTGAAGTGCCTGTAGGGACTCAAAATATGAGAGCTATATTTAACTGTAAACTGAAGCTCAGAGAAGGGACCTGATTTGTCCAGAAACAAGAGGCTAAGGGGCAATTTCCCTGCCTCAGATCTCAGTGTTTCCAACTGTCAAGTCCATGGAAAAACACACTTCATGCCCAGGAATGAGCTCCTCATCTCCCCTCCCTTTGCCCACCCCAAATACACACTGAGCTAAGGTTGTCTCACCACAAATTCCTGTTTTCTCTTTAACATTCCCAAGGTGATAAGGTGGCCTCTTCCTTCTGAGGACTTTATAATTTTTATGCTCTGTTAATACATTTTGTCTACTTTTAAGCATGTTTGAGGGCACTTATGTTTTCCTTTTTCTAGCAAACACATTCTGTCTTAAAAAAAAAAAGATTTAAAAATTGACTTGAGAGAGAGGAAGGGGAAAGAGAGAGCTAACAATGGAAAGAAAAACATTGATTGGCTACCACCCGTACACACTCTAACTGGGGATCAAACCCCCAACCTGAGTATGTGCTCTGCCTGGGAATTGAACCCGCTGCCTTTTGGTGTACAGTACTATGCTTCAACCAACTGAGCCACACCAGCCAGAGTAATCTTTTTTTCCTTTAAAAAATATTTTTACTAGCCGAAACCGGTTTGGCTCAGTGTAAAAAATCAGTAAAATATATTTAAAAAAATATTATTTACCAAACAAGTAATATATGATCATTCAAGAAAATTATATAAACTACTAAAAACATACACAAGACCATTTTTTAAAAATGTATTTTTATTGTTTTTTTACAGAAAGGTAGAGAGAGGGATAGAAAGTCAGAAACATTGATGGGAGAGAAACATCCATCAGCTGCCTCCTGTATACTCCCTACTGGGGATGTGCCCGAAACCAAGGTACATGCCCTTGACCGGAATCGAACCCTGGACCTTTCAGTCCGCAGGCTGACACTCTATCCACTGAGATTTTAACAGTAGTAAGCTGACTCATATTTGTGCATTCTCTCATTTGTTTGTCACCTGAGAGATGCGTGATAGGCCTGTTGTGGGGTGTGTAGGAGGCAGCCGATTGATTCTCTCTCATCATTGATGATATTCTCTCTCTCTCTCCACCTTCATCTCTGAAATCAATACAAATATATATATATTTTCACACACACTTTTTTTTAAAAAAAGATAAAACATTCTTTTAATTTCTGTTGCTGGAAACAAACCAAAAAAACCCATACCCTACTCCAAAATTACAGCCAACAGTAAAAGGCAAACTTCAGACTGGGAAATATTTTATAGACAATGGGTTAATATTTCTGTTGAGTAAACAACACATAAAATGGGTTACAAACAGATCAAGAACCCAATAAATAGATGAAACAATAAACAAGGAACAATTCCTATCTCACAAATAATTAAATACAAACTAAAAGAGCTCATAGCCTTTCAAACTTGAAGTTTAAAAAACTGGTAACACTAAAGCCTGGTTTTATTGTGAGCAATGGATACTTCTACATTTCTGGTGGGAAAATGACTTGTTAAAATATTTTATAAAGTAATTTAATGGGGGGCATTTGCGGGGAGCTGAGTGGGAAAGGTGGAGGAATTGAGGGGAAAAACTTATGGACACAGACAACAGTGTGGTGATTGCAGAGGGGGAGGAAGAAGGTGGAAGAGGGTATGGGGGGGATAAATGATGATGGATGGAGATTTGACTTGAGTGGGTGAACTCACAATACAGTGTACAGAGAGTGTGTTGTAAAATTGTGTTAATTGTGTTAACACAGTTTCACCTCACTACATTAAATAAAAAGGAACAAAAAGGCAATTTGGCAATATGCATCAAAGACTTAAATAATGTCCAGGCCTTTTTGAGCCAGGAATTCCTCTTCTGGGAATCAATTTCAAGAAAATAATTCTGATTAGGACAAAACTATCCGCCTCAAGATGTTTAAAGAAATATTTTTGTGCCAAAACTGGTTTGGCTCAGTGGATAGAGCGTCGGCCTGCGGACTGAGGGGTCCCAGGTTCGATTCCGGTCAAGGGCATGTACCTTGGTTGCGGGCACATCCCCAGTAGGGAGTGTGCGAGAGGCAGCTGATCAATAATTCTATTCTCTGTCCCTCTCTCTTCCTCTCTGTAAAAAATCAATAAAATATATATTTTTTAAAAAAGAAATATTTTTGGTGTGTGTACCAATTTGGTGTTCAATTATTTAAATTATATTTAAACAACAAAGAAATGGAATGGGTTTGAATGTCATAACCATCACATCTTTTCTCTCCTTCTATTGAGACAGTGATGGCACATTAAAAGACATTTGGAATCAAACAGACCTGGGTTCAAGCTTCACTTCCACCCCATATCTGCTGTGGAATCTTGGGTAAATCATTTTACTGTTCTGAGTCTGTTTCTTCACCTATAACATGGCATAATCATACTGGTAAACATATCTACTTTGTAGCACTATTTTGAAAATTAGACAACTTAGAAAGTGCCTTTTACCTAGTAGGCTAGTTAACTTGATGTCACTTGTGTTCCCAGGACATTCCTGGTCCATAGTAGAGCTCAATAAGAAATGGGTCAGAGGAGTTCTCTTCCCCTTTTCTATACATCAGCTGTCCCAGGATAACTGCTTGTAATATTATTTTTTCTTTCATTCTTGAAGCCCTCCATGTTGTAGTTAAGCTCCAAATTTGGAGTTTTCCTTCTGCCTTCAGGTGTCCACTCCTACTTTTTACCCTGTGAGGAGCAACCCATCTTGAGAGACTCAGAGATCCTTCCAGTATTTACCAGATCTCCCTGATCTCTCTTGGCTAATATAGGCATATTTTGGAGCAATGACTCTTGTATTTTTCTCTGATTCTCAACCCATAGTACAGGGGAACCTTGTTTCTCAAACTTAACTCATTCCAGAAGGCTGTTCGAAAACCAAATAATTTTTTCTCATTAGAAATAATGTCAATTGGGTTAATCCATTCTAGACCCTCAAATGATTCTCTATTTTAACTTTCTTATATACAGTACATGTATATTGTGCTGTTCAACCTATAAACACTTTAAAAAAACAAAAAGACATGAAATATAAATGAAAATTTAACAAAAAGGAAAGGAAATGTACAGTAAAAATGAAAATTTAACAATAATTATAAGAAGTAACAAATGCAGAAAAACATGAAAATGTTCATAGTAAAATATTCTGAGATTTTAACAGTAGTAAGCTGACTCATATTTGTGCATTCTCTCATTTGTTTGTCACATAAGAGATGCATGATTGATCATGCAGGTATCAGCATGAAAAGGTTTCCAGGCTGAGAAGCAAATTGTTCAGAAATGAGGTTCCACTGTACCTTTAATTTTGTATGTGGTAGTGCTGGCAGGCCCAGAGAGGGACAGTTAGAATAGGGCCTCTAAGTCTAAGACTTGGCTTACAAAACTGGCTCACCACCAGTTATCTGATCTGTCCCTTCCCCTTTCTGTATCCTAGTTTCCTCGTCTGTAAAATAAGGGTAATAGTATTACCTGTTCTTACATAGGGTTGTTGAGAGGACCAAATGAGAGAATTCAGAGAGGGCTTGGAATCATCCTAGCTTGCTCCCTTGCAGAATCATTCTCCCAGAGTTGTGTTTTAACTACATGCTCTAAGTTTTCATCAGAGGTTGTGAAAAGAAGTCTATTTGCTGTCAAATTTATGGAGAATATTATCAATATACTATTAATAGAAGCTCCATCCATGATATTTGTGAAGGGGATGCGGGGGGAGGAGGGGAGGGCAAGGGAGTGTCCTTCAGCCCAGCCTGCACCCTCTTGACTGCCGGTTTAGGCCTAACAATTGGGACTGCTGGCTCCTAACCACTTGCCTGTCTGCCTGCCTGATCACCCCTTAATTGTTCCCCTGCCAGCCCGATTACCCCCAACTTCCCTCCCCTGCAGGCCTGGTCCCCCCCAACTGCCCTACCCTGCAGGCCATCTTATGATGATGTGGGGGTAGCCATCTTGTGATGATGTGGGAGCATCCATCTTTTGGGTTTTTTTTTTTTTTTTTTTTAATATGTTTTATTGATTTTTTACAGAGAGGAAAATAAAGGGACAGAGAGCTAGAAAAATCGATGAGAGAGAGAGAGACATTGATTAGCTGCCTCTCAACCAAGGTACATGCCCTCGACCGGAATCAAACCTGGGACCCTTCAGTCCACAGGCTGATGCTCTATCCACTGAGCCAAACCCGTTTTGGCAGGAGCATCCATCTTGTGATGATGAGGGGGTGAGGGTCAATTTGCCTATTACCTCTTCATTATATATATGATGACTTCAGTTGAGAAATTTCTCCAGTATAAGAAATTATTGGAATTTTTGCCAGGAAAACTGGGAGATGCCCTTTTCTTTGATATCAAACATTCTGAGGCTGATTCATCCTATTTCCATTTTGGCTTGTTTTCCAGGAAGCTTAGTAATCTGATGCTTAGTAATCCCAATAGGCTTAACTTCATATTGGTATTTTATGAAATTTATTGTACACAGTCTTAATTTTAAGCTTTCTCAACTTCTTTTGAGAGAGGCAGAGAACGAAAGAAAAGAAAGAAAAAGAAAGAGGAAAAAAGGAAGAGAAGGAAGTAGGTATAGTTTGAAAAGTGTGCTTGGCAAGCCATATGCTCACTGTATCAGCTAGAATATAGGTTTGGTTTCCCTAACAGACACCCAAAATAATTGTGGCTTAAATAAAATGAAAGTGTATAACTATCAGGCCATAAGCAGTCCCAGGCTAGGATGAAGACTACAAGATAAGAGGGATCCTGGCTTCTTATCTTTTAAAAAATATATATTTTTTCATTGATTTTGAAGAGGAAGGGAGTGAGAGAGAGAGAGATAGAACATCAGTGATGAGAGAATCATTGATCAGTTGCCTCCTATATGCCCCACACTGGGGACTGAGCCTGCAACTCAGGCATCTGTCCTGACTGGGAATCGAACTGTGACCTCCTGGTTCATAGGTCAATGCTTAACTACTAAGCCACGCTGGCCAGGCATGGCTTCTTATCTTGTTGCTTCACTGATCCAAGAGTTTTGTCTTTGACCACATATTTCAAGATGGCTTCCCACCATGTTTCATGCCAGCCAGGAACGTGGAGGGCACACCTGGGGCACATAATCTCATAGTTACACACATCTCTTTCTCTTACATTCTATTGGTCATAACTTAGTCACATGATCATGATCACACCCAAGTGCAAGAGAAGCTGGGATATTTAGTTTTTCATGAGCATATGTCCAACTAAAAATCAGATTTTGAAGGACATCTACTAGTTTCTGCCATATCCACTGTCTCAGATGTATTTCTTTGCACATAATTGTACTTCTGTCTGCCACAATTTCACTTTCAGTCCCTCAGTCCAGCCTCCATGCTGCTCTCAGAAGTGCTTTCTGATTCAGAGTGCTATTATGGCATTCCCCTACTCACAAACCTCCTCTGGCTCCCTACTACCCAGAAAAGTGATTCCCAAACATTAATATGCATCAGGAATCAAATGGAGGATTTATGAAAGCAGAGAGGACTGGCATAAGAAAATACGAAATACTGTCATTTGCAATAACATGGATAGACCTTGAGAGAATATTACTCTAAGTGAAGTAAGTCAGGCAGAAAAAGCTAGAATCAGCCGAAACCAGTTTGGCTCAGTGGATAGAGCATCGGCTTGGGGACTGAAGGGTCCCGGGTTCGATTCCGGTCAAGGGCATGTACCTTGGCTGCGGGCATATCCCCAGTGGGGGGTGTGCAAGAGGCAGCTGATTGAAGACTCTCTCTCATCGATGTTTCTAGCTCTCTCTCTCTCTCCCTTCCTCTCTGTACAAAATCAATAAAATATATATTTTAAAAATAATAATAAATAAATAAATAAATAAATAAATAAATAAATGGTGTTGAAAAAATTAGATCCCAAGCAAACTTACAAACCAATTAAAAAAAAAAAAAAAGCTAGAATCATAAGATTTCACTCATATGTGGGATACATACAGCAGTGGTGATTGCGAGAGAGAAGCGGTGGAAGGGTAGGGAGTGAAGAGGACCTAATATATGGTGACAGAAGATGATCTGACTTTGAGTGGTGGACACATAGTGCAAGATGCAGATCTTGTAACATAGAAATGCACACCTAAAACCTATGTGACCCTGTTAACCAATGTCACCCCAATAAGAAAAAACAAGCAAACAAACAAAAAAAAAACAGAGAAGGTTGGGCCACAGAATTTCAGATTCATTAGGTTATGAGACCTGAGAATCTGTGTTTATTAGGTTCACAGGTGATGCTGATGCTACTGGTCCAGAGACCACCTTTTGAGAAACATTGACCTCAAAAATAAAGCCAATGATTCTTGCCCTAGCCAGTGTGGCTCAGTTGGTTGAGCATTGTCCCATGCACCAAGAGGTATTGGTTAGATTCCTGGTCAGGGCACATGCCCTGGTTGAGTTTCAGACTCAATTCCCAGTGGGGGCATGCCAGAGGCAGCCCATGAATGTTTCTCTCTCACATCAATGTTTCTCTCTCCCTCTTCCTTCCTCACTAAAATAAATAAAAACATTAAGCCCATGCTTCTTAATCTGCTGTTTACAACCTGCTCCAGCCTGGTCTCAATCTACTTTCTAGCTTCATTTCTTTTCCATCCCCTCCCCCTCTACCCAGGCCTCCAGTCACACTGAAGTTTTCACCAGGCCAGCTGTTCACACCTCTATGCCTTGCTGTTTCTTTTGTCTGGAATGTTTGCTGCCCCAGCACCTTCCTTTTCACACCCTCCCTGCTGCATTTGATGACCCTGCAGACCCTTACATTCTTCTATTATTGCTTTATGTTTTTGTCTGCCCAGCTGTCTTCCCGTATCTGGAGCCTTAGTCACCTACATAGCTCTCAGCCATAGCAACAGGGTCACTGAGTGAGAAAACAAGAGTATGAATGTGAAAATGAAGGTATGTGGAGTGACTAAACTAGGAGAGTCAAGAGATGAAACGATGAGCTATTTGGTCCGTTTGTGCTTGGTTCTTTTTTTTTCTTCTTTTTTTTTAAAATATATTTTATTGATTTTGTACAGAGAGGAAGGGAGAGAGATAGAGAGCCAGAAACATCGATGAGAAAGAGTCATCGATCAGCTGCCTCCTGCACACCCCCTACTGGGGATATGCCCGCAACCAAGGCACATGCCCTTGACCGGAATCGAACCCGGGTCCCTTCAGTCCCCAAGCCGACGCTCCATCCATTGAGCCAAACCAGTTTTGGCTGTGCTTGATTCTGTCCATTGAGTTCTAGGCCCCAGATAAGGAATTTACTCTCTTATCAGGTTTCCTTAAAATTCCAAGTCCTAGCCATCTCTCCCTTCTTCTTCTTCTTTTTTTAAAAAAATATATTTTATTGATTTTTTTACAGAGAGGAAGAGAGAGGGTTAGAGAGTTAGAAACATCAATGAGAGAGAATCATCAGTCAGCTGCCACTTGCCCACCCCCTACTGGGGATGTGCCCACAATCAAGGTACATGTCCTTAACCTTGACTGGAATCAAACCTGGGACCTTTCAGTCTACAGGCTGACACTCTATCCACTGAGCCAAACCAGTTTCGGCCATCTGTTCCTTCTTAGCAGGAATCACCTGGGACCCCAAATACACTGAGTTCGTTCTCCAGAGTGTGCAGGGGCTGGGAACCCTCCCCCTCCCCCTCCCCCTCTCCCTCCCCCTCCCGCTTCTCCTCTTCCTCTCCCTTCCCTCCCCTTTCGGTGTTGGGGGTCCATGTTTTCAAACTTTTTATTTATTTTATTTTATGATTTTTCACAGAGAGGAAGAGAGAGGGATAGATAGATAGAAACATCGATGAGAGAGAATCATCGACCAGCTGCCTCCTGCACACCCCCTACTGGGGATGTGCCCGCAACCAATGTACATGCCCTTGACCAGAATCGAACCCAGGATCTTTCAGTCCACAGACTGACGCTCTGTCCACTGAGCCAAACCGGTTTCAGCCATGTTTTCAAACTTTTTAAGGAGCTTGTTGAGGTCTGCAAAAGCTTCTGCTAAACCCTTCACTGTGAATTTTCTTGGAGGTTCTTTTTATGGGACAACTGTCATATAAGCAGTATGTTATTGGCTGAAACATCATTATGCAGTGTATGATTATATAATATCTACTTTCCCCTTCTAGCAATTTTATCTAATTTGGGGGCCTCAGGGCTGGGAGAGGGTCTGCAAGCAGGGATGCCATGGTTACAGATTGTGCACTGCCCAAGCCTAAGAGTACCATTCACATTCTCTACAGCCTTGTAGGGAAGAGAGGCCCCACCGAGCTGTGTAATAGAGTCTGTCTGCAAGTCAGATGGACTGAATTTGAATCATGGCTCAATCACTTACCAATTGTTTGACTAAGCAAGAGACCTAACCTCCTAAAACTCAGTTTCCTCATCTGAGAATGGGTGTTGTTAGTACCTACCAAATGGGGTAGTTGAGAAAATTCAGTAGTTTAATGAGTTTAAAATAGTGGCTGGTACAAAGCTATCATTTTCTCTCTGAGAAGGCTATAAACATGGGGACAATGAGTTACTGAAAAACTGCTGCAGGTAGGCCTTGCTCTTAGTGGAAATCAAGTCCTCCTGCTGTTCTCTCTCTTAGGACCATACTTCATCCTTCTTTTTGCCAAAACTCACTTTTATTAGTCAGGTCTTTTTTAGTCGACAAATGACAAAACTCCCAAGCTAACTAGCTTGAGTTAAAGGAAGCATTTGTGGGCTGACGTAATTGGAGGATCCAATCGAGGACCCAGGGCTCTAGCTATATCACATAGACCCTGTCTCCTTCCCCATCTCCTGGCTCTGCTCCTCTGAGTTAGTTATATTCTCCGGCAGGTTCTTTCATGTGACAGGAAAGTGAGTGACCAGGTAGTTCAACCTTAACATTCTATGGCTTTTATTTTTATTTTTTCATTCTATGGCTTTTAATACAAAAGAAGAGCAATCCTCTTCTCTCATCATTCATAGAGCAATCTTATGGAAGGCCTTTGATTGGCCCAGCTGGGGTCCATGCCCATTCTTTGGACCAATCATTGTGGCTATAGATATGGGTGCTATGATTGGCTTAGCTGGGGTCATGTGTCCACCCTAATTTGACAGTCCTAATTTGACAGTCCGGCAAGAGATACATGGAATGGCTTGAGTATAGCTGCTGAGAATACAAGAATGCCTTCTGCACACCCCCTTTAGGGATTGAGCCCAAAACCTGGGCATGAGAACTGACTGGGAATCAAACCGGTAACCTTTCCGTGCATAAGATGACACCCAACGGAGCCACACCAGTCAGAGCTTCCCATCTTTATCTTTATGGCTCAGTTCATTTCTTCAGGGAATCTACCCTTTCTTTCCCATGTGGATCTGCAAATTATTCACAATTTGAGGCAGGGATAAGAACCTATTTATTCACCTATCTTCCCCAGGCTTAGCTTCCTGCCTAGGCTGTGGAAGAGACACTGTTGGTGGCCTATCCAACATCCATTTCTCTTTCATACTCAGATCTTTGATGGATTCCACCCTCTCTTCCCATTGTCTTGGGCTTAGAGGGAAAGCAGATACTCAATAGTTTAAACTCATTAGAGTCCCCTTTCCTGCCACAGTGGTTGGTTCAGGAATGGGTATGTGAGGCTTAATTTGGACAAGACATAATAGGGTAGACTGGAAAGGCTTCTTGCTTTTAATAGAACCTGGAAGCCAGCTCCTTCCTGCCCTCTCGTGCTGACTGTAAATGAGGAAGCATTTGGCCTCTGTCCACTGCTACTGGATGCCACTAAACAGCTGGAGGGGAACATACTTTAGGTGAAAGCTGACACCAGGGAGGTCAGTGTGGAGACACTGGAACCTTGAAGGCCCTGTTGAATTGTTGGATTGGCCAACCCTGGAATCCACTCTGCATCAGGACCATCAAGCCCCCAGCTAACATATTTCCTGTTGTTAGTCCACTTTGAGCTGGGAGTGTTGCAGCCACAAGTATCCTCAGAATATACTTCCTTTTTTTTTTTTTTTTTTTTTTAAATAATTTTTTTATTGATTTTTCACAGAGAGGAAGGGAGAGAGATAGACAGTAAGAAACATCGGTGAGGGAGAGCCATCAATCAGTCGCCTCCTATACACCCCCTACTGGGGATGTGCCCGCAACCAAGGTACATGCCCTTGACAGGAATCGAACCCAGGACCCTTCAGTCCGCAGGCCGACACTCTATCCACTGAGCCAAACCGGCTTTGGCTCAGAATGTACTTCCTGAATGCATTCATGGGCTAGTGGCCCAAGAGCAAGAGCCATCAAGCATTCTCTCTTAAACCTTTGCACCCCACAATAACAGACATTCAAATATTCTGGATGCTTTTTAAAAAAACACAGCAGTTACTTTATTCTTAAATTTGCACTTTACAAAACCACAAAGGAGAAGTCCTTGAGGGAGAGACAGGTAGGGGTGGAGGGCTGGGGGATGGGAAGGAGGGAGGAGAGAAAGGCCCAGAAATGTTGTCTCCCTCTTCTTTGGGACCAAGCGGAGACTTGGCTCCAGGCCAGGCCAGCTGGGCCTCCCGTGTCCGGGCTGCACAGAGCTAGGCCGAAGGACCTCAGGGAAAGGCTGCGTCCTCTAGAGACTGCTGCCATATGACATCTGACAAGTCAGCCATAAGCTGAGGCTTCCAGCCGCCCAGAGAAGGAAGTGGGCTCCCTCCCCTTTCTTCCCAGGCCAGGGGAAGTGAGCCTGAGGTGGGGGTGAGGGCTACCCATCTAGCAGCTTTAGGATGCTCTCCCGCTCCTTCAGAGTCTTCCAGGCCTGGTCCTTCTCCTTCTTGGTGGGAGTCCGCTTCTTTTGCCGGGCAGCCATGATCTTGCGGAAGGCATCCATGACCTCATTGTCTGCCATTCGGACTCGCTGCCTCAGCTCCTGCCGGCTCACCTCCTCCTTTGCCAGCCTGTGGGGACCAGCCAGCCAGGTGTCATGGGAAGCCCACGTCCAGACTGAGTCCACCCACCATCCCAGGCTGGCACTCCTATGGACTATTCAGACCAAAAAGCAAAGTTCCTAAACCATTCTTATATGTACTATGTGGTAGATAGATACTAGCTTAAGCTCTTCAAAATTATTAGCTCATTTAATTCTCATAACAACCCTCTGAGGTAGGTAACATTAATTATTCCTATGTTACCAGTGACGAAACTGAGGCTCAAGAAGGTTAATAAATGTTCCAAGATCCTACAACTAGTGAGTGGGAGATCTGAATTAAGGCAGGTGGGCTTCAAACCATCTTTTAAAGGTGTTCTGTGCCAGCAGAGTACCTGCTTACTTCAGCATCCAAATTCCAGAGCAACCTTAGGATCCAGGCAGCCTAGGGTCTACAGAAGGCAGGTGAGATGCCAAACTAACCTCTCTGAATAGAATCCAATTTATGAATCCCATTAATGGTGAAGCTGGGATGTTACTTAGAGATCTGATCTACTCCAACCTGGTAGTTTTCCAGAAGGGGAGTGGCTGCTCAGGGAAGGAGACCTGCACTCTAGCTTTCTGATAGCCCCAAGGTCGTTCTTTCACTACCCCTTAATTCTGTATCTGCGTATCTCTGCTTCGCTCTCCCACCCCCTCCCTTCCTTGTATTTCTTTCATCTGTAATTTCCTCTTCTTGCCCTAGAGAGGGAACTAGAAAGAAGCTTTGAATTCAGCCTTGGGCTCAAGTCACATCTTGGTTGTTTATGGGCTGTGTGACCTTCAGTAGGACACATGTTTAATTAGGTCTTTATTTTCTCATCTGGTAAACAGGGAAAATACACCTGTCCCTGGGCTATAGTCGACATTAAAGAGGAGATTGTACACAAACCCCTATCTTTAAACACCCTAGCAGCTAGTCAGCAACTACCACTCCTTTTAATGGTGCACATCTTTTTCTTTTTCTTTTTTTAAATTTATTTTATTGATTTTTTACAGAGAGGAAGGGAGAGGGATAGAGTTAGAAACATCTATCAGCTGCCTCCTGCACACCTCCCACTGGGGATGTGCCCGCAACCAAGGTACATGCTCTCGACAGGAATTGAACCTGGGACCCTTCAGTCCACAGGATGAACTCTATCCACTGAGCCAAACTGGTCAGGCAAATGGTGCACATCTTTACCAATAATCCACTTGGAGACTCAGAGCCCTTTGCTCTGCCTCTCTTGCTGGCCTCAGCACATCTGAGAGAGGCAGAGTTGGCCAAATGAATGAGTGTGCCCTGCACTGTTGGGGCTTTGTGAGGCAAGGAGTTAGCATCTGTCTGTGAGAAGCAAGGAAACTTAGTTAAGCTGCTTTCTCTATCTCCTCAATAAAAGGGCAGCACTACCATGGTCTCCTTCCAGATGTCACCTATACCCTTATGACAAATTCAGGGCAAAAGACGAGAGTTAGCTGAAACCGGTTTAGCTCAGTGGTCAGAGCGTCAGCCTGCGGACTGAAAGGTCCCGGATTCGATTCCAGTCAAGGGCATGTACTTTGGTTGCGGGCACATCCCCGGTGGGGGGGGGTGTGTGGGAGGCAGCTCGTCGATGTTTCTCTCTCATCATCAACGTTTCTCTATCTCTCTCCCTTCCTTTCTGTAAAAATCAATAAAGTATATTTTAAAAAAATATCTTATAACCTTTAAAAAAATCAGTAAAATATATTAAAAAGAAAAAAAAAGATGAAAGTTAATATAAAATGATTGACATTGTGACCAATTCCTTAAAGAACTGGTTCTAAATAACTGGGTAGTTTCAGATGAAGGGCCAATAATAATCACAAAATGTTAACAGTTGATAAATCTAAGTGAAGAGTATATTGATGTTCATTGTACTACTCTTCCAGGTTTTCTGTGTGTCTGAAATTTTTCATAAAATAACATTGGAGAAGAAAGAAAATAAACATAAAAAAATTTAAAAAAATAAATCACACCTGGCCATTGTGGCTCAGTGGTTGAGCATCAAATGAGGAGGTTACAGTCTGATTCCCAGTCAGGGCACATGCCCAGATTGAGGGCTTGATCCCCAGTAGGCAGTGAACAGGAGGTAGCCTATCAGTGATTCTCTCCCATCTTTGATGTTTCTCTCCCTTCCTCTCTCTGAAGTAAAAATAAATATATAAAAATAAATAAATCACACAATGTGAATATAGTTAACACCTTAAAAATGGATATAAAGAGTCAATTTTATATTACATATTTTCCACCACAATTATAAGTAAGTAAATGAATAAATCCCTGAAGTCTTTGCCCTAGTCTGCGAATTAGAATCTATTTAAGACATAACTTGTGGGTTGGTGCCTGATACGGACAATTTTTTCAAGGCTCCTCAGGTGATTTAGAGGCCTGCCAGGTTTGGAAGCCTATTGTTAAGTCCCCACAAGGTGACAAGCAGTGGCCAAGGCCTTGTTGGTCAACCCCTGGCCCATCCATCCATCCATACTCACCTCAGCAGGTCATGCTTCTTGGTGCGGTTATGGGCACTGAGTGCCTTCAGCTCGGCCTGTCGTTTGCGCAGCTCAGCGAGGACCTCGTCCTCCGAGTCCTCTGCGGGGCGATCCTCAGACTCCAGCAGGCCCTGGGCGATCAGCTCCTCCTTGATGCGGCTCTCCAAGGACTTGGTGTGGGGCACACTGCAGGGAAAGGCAGCCCTCAGCTCAAGGGCCAGTTTGGAAGGGGGATCCCTTGGACATATCCAAGGTTAGTGAACACCTTCTCTTTGGGCACCCCCTTTATATCCATGTAGATATAAAAATATAGAGACAAGCAAATATGGTCATGTTTCAAACACAAGCAACATATATCCAGTGCCAAAAAAAATAGGAAAACTTATAATGTCAAAAACCCAAAGAAAAACACTATTATTTTGTTATATTAACATTATTTTTCTATGTTATTTTACACACACAGTAGTCCTCCCTTATCAGTGAGGGATACTTTCTAAGACCCCCAGTGGCTCCCTGGAACCAGCATAGTACAGAACCCTATATATACTGTTTTTCTATATATTCATACTTATGATACTGTTTAGTTTATAAATTAGGCACAGTAAGAGATTAACAACAATAATAAGATAGAACAATTATAACAATTTACTGTAATAAGTTATGTGAATGTGATCTCTGATAACCAATTAATAACTGAGATGGCTACTAAGTGACTAATGGGTAGATAGAGGATATAGTGTGGTTATGCTGGACAAAGGAATGACTCACACCCCAGGTGGGATGGAGCAGATGGCATGAGATTTCAGATGGCATAAGATTTCATCATGCTACTCACGACAGCACAAAATTTAACACTTACAAACTGTTTATTTCTGGAATTTTCCATTTAATATTTTTGGACCACAGTTAACAGAAAACTGGGGAAAGCAAAACTGCAGATAAGGGGGAGACTGCTGTGATTGACACACACACACACACTCCAGATTTAAAAAATATATTTTCTTAGTGACTTCAAAGAAGGGAGAGGGTGGAAGGGAGAGGTAGAAACATCAATGATGAGAGAGAATCATTGATCAGCTACCTCCTGCAGAGTCCCTATTTGGGATTGAGCCCACAACCTGAACATGTAACTTGACCAGGAATCAAACCAGTGACCTCCTAATTCATAGATCAACACTGAACCACTGAGCAACACCGGCTGGGCTATTCCAGCTTTTGTTATATATTATTTCCAGTCTTTTATCATAGATCATTTGTGTTTTTCCCTATGTACACACATTTAAATATATCTTAAACAAAACAAGGACCACACTGTGCTACAAGTGACATTTTCCCCACTTAACACTGTACTGTTTACATCTTTTCATGTCAATTAGCTATATTTCTCTTACATGATTAATAGTTGCAAATTATTTTATCATACAGAGTAATGAAATTTTAGCCAACCACTAACCTTCAACTGGATATTTAGTTGTTTGCAATAAGAACAGTGTTCTGATTAACAACCCTGTACTAAGTCTGTGCATGCAGAAATGCGGGGCCAGCATGCATATTTGAAGCTTTTATTGGGCTTTCTCAAACTGTCCTTGGCCTCTCTAGTAATTAAGAATTCCCCATGTCAGGACGAACAGAAATAGGAGCCGGACTGTGAGGTGTGGATAAGATGCCACTTACCTGAAAGGCTTGTTCTGATTTCGGGGAGAGGTGCTTGCCCCATCGGCCACTGATTCTTTCCCGGACATGTCAGGAATGGGAGAGTCCTCCATAGGGGAAATAATATTTTCCTGGAAGACCACATAAATGGAGGATAAAGAGCTATAGTATTTCTGTTTTCCTGCTCCCCTCTGACCTACACAGAGAGTCTTCATAGGCCAAAAATATCCTTTTATATTTCTCATCCCACCCTGCCCAGAAAGCCTTTCCAGCCTCCAAAAAGCTTTGATCATTTTTTATGCTGATTCCAAAAGAAGGGAGCACAGAAGAGCAAAGATAGCACTCAATGATAGTAATATTAGCTAAGGTTTATTAAATGTTTGCAATGCACCAGGCACTGTGCTAAGCACATTGTGGCAGAGGCTGCTAGCTGTCCAAAAGCCATTCTTTTTTTTTCTTTTCTTTTTTTAAAATATATTTTTATTGACTTCAGAGAGAAAGGGGGAAACATCAATGATGAGAATCACTGATCAGCTGTGTCCTGCATGCTCCACACTGGGGATATGAGCCTGCAACATGGGCATGTGCCCTGACTGGAAATCAAACTGTGACCTCCTGGTTCACAGGTGGACACTCAACCACTGAGCCACACTGGCCAGGCCAAAGCCATTCTTGCCCTTCTTCCATATTAGCCAGGCTTATTGCTGCCCACATACACAATACTTCCCAGCCTTCCTTGCAGTCAGGTGTAGTCATGTGACAAATTCTTTCCAGTGGAAAGTGATTAGGAGTGACAAAAGCTTCAGCCTGTTATAGCCCATTAGTCTTCCCTCATACACATCTCCTAGCTCTTTTTCTGTGAGCTTCGACTGTCAATCACACCCAGAGTAACCTTATGCAGAATGCATGTTTAAGATGGCAAAGTCACCAGGGCTGGTGTCCCTGTCTGGTGGTGTGGGGCAGAGACCCTCTCTTCCCTTCAGCCAACCTGAGCATGTGTCTGAGGCTGTTACATGAGAGGGAAATACACTGTTGTGTTTGGGCCAGAGAGGAAAGCAAGGCTCAGTGAGGTGAAGGGATGTGCATAAGGTCAGACAGAGAGCATACAGAAAAGGATCCCTGAACCTAGACTTTGAGTCCTGCTTCTATGTATTAGCTGTGGGACCTCAAGCAAACAGTTCCCTTTTTTTGAGCCTCAATCTTCTTGTGTTACGTGAGGCTAACCACTGTGCTTGCCTCCAACGAGAGGGTGTGTGGAAAGTCACTTGCACGGGGCTCAGCCCTTAGCCAACACTCAAGTAACTGTGAAGTAGTGGTTACCTTTGGGGAGGTTAGAGACTGGGAGGGGCCTCCAGGATACTGGTAATGTTTTATTATACAAGTGCTCATTTGTGAAACGTTACAAAGCTATAAATTTAAGACCTATATACTTTTCTAAATGTATAATATACTTCAATAAAAAATGAAATAAGCCCTAAGTGGTTTGGCTCAGTGGATAGAGCGTCAGCCTGCGACCTGAAGGGTCCCAGGTTCGATTCCGGTCAAGGGCATGTACCTTGGTTGTGGGCATATCCTCAATAGGTGGTGTGCACCAGGCAGCTGATGAATGTTTCTACATCTCTATCCCTCTCCCTTCCTCTTTGTAAAAAATCAATAAAATATATTTAAAAAATAATAAATGAAATAAATAAGCACTGGCTGTTGTGGCTCAGTTGGTTGGTACATCATTCCATACACCAGAAGGTGGCGTGTTCCATTCCAGGTTAGGGCACATACCCAGATTGCAAGTTCGGTCCCCAGTTGGGGTGTGTGTGGAAGGCAACCAGTTGATATTTCTCTTACATTGACATTCTCTCTCTCCCTCCCTCCCTTCTCCCCTCCTTTCCTTTCTCCCTCACGCTGAGATGAAGAAGAAGGAGGAGGAGGAGGAGGAGAAGGGGGAGGAGGAGGAGGGGGAAGAGGAAAAGGAGGAGGAGGAGGAAGAAGAAGAAGAGGAAGAGGAGGAGCAAACATTGAAATATTGTAGAAAGTAAATGTGGTTGCTGTTTTAGGTTGGGGTGCTCACCTCCACCAAGGCCTGCAGGAGGCGCTGTGTCAGGGCACCAAATGGGCATCCATCTTCGGGCTGCTCATGCTGGGCCTCAGACTTCTTCAGCAGGGCATCCACATCTGAAGCAGGCAGAGTAGTGGGTAACTGGTCTGAAGTTTTGGGAACTCAAGTCCTAACCTGGGATAGGCAGCAAGTTGAGGGGCCTACCTTTAGTGTCGAGTTCAGTTAGTGGCCCCATGAGGCCTTTCTTCTTGTCAGCCACAGCTGCGGCCCGGGCTCCGTCCTTCTGCTCCTCCAGCAGGTCCTCCTGTGCCCAGCGTTGGGAGTAGTGCTTTCCCAGGGGCGGGATCTGTAGGAGAAACTGTAGGGTCAGGAGAAGGAATTCTTTTTTGTATTGCTTGAATTTATTACTGCTTGTATGAATTACTTTTTCAAATACATTTTTAAAAAATTCAGACAAGCGACGTGACAGAGGTAGATCGAAGTCTTGTGGCAGCCCTCAAAAGAGACCAACTTTCTGCTGGGGAATCCGCAAAGGAGTTTTGGTGCAGGTAACACACGGTCAGGGTTTGAACGGTGAATCAGTGTGCCAAGAGGAGGAGAGCATATGCAGAGGCCCAGAGCCCAGCAAGGATCCTGTGGGGGTCAGGAGTGAGGGTAAGGTGCTTGGTGGGGCTGGGGAATGCAGCAGTGAAGAGAGAGTGTGGCCAATGAAACTGGAGAGGGGTGCTGGGGCCGTGCCACCAAGGACTGAGACACTTGGACTCGATCCTGAGGGTAATGAGAACCAGAAGACCGGGAGCAGGGTCGTGTCACATCTGAGCATGACAGCGGACCTATGGGAGAGTTCCCCCAACACTTCTACTTTCTACATTTTCTTTTAAGGAGTGAAAGAAAGGCCCCTTTGGAGGCAGGAAGTATAAAGAACCTGTTTGGGTGAGAGCTGATGGAAGTCTTGAACCAAAGCAGAGGGGAGGGAGATGTGCAAACAAGAGAAAGCCTCCCTGAATCTGATAGTAACCATCCGGATGGGATGGAAGGGAGACAATGCAGGGAGAAGGATGAGAGAGACCAAATGTCTGAGTGGGATAATGGGGCAGACAGGAGACTGGGCAAGGTAGGGAAAGGAAGATGATATACGGCTTTAGGAGCTTTAATTCTGAGGCACCTCTGAGCCCTCTTGTTTTCTACCTTGTCTGTTGAGACTCAGGTTTTCTACCTTGTAATGTTCAGCCTCATCTTCTGGGGGTTTCAGTAACTCCTCTAGCGTGCGCACCTCCTCGTTAGTGATGTCAGCACAGTAGGGCTCCACTGAAGCCCAGAACCTGCAGAGAGAAACAGATCCTCAATGGGCACCCATGTCCCACAAGCATCAGCCCAGGGCTTCTCCACAGTCTCCACTTCCCGATTCCCAATGCCCCTCCACGTTCTCTGGCCCAGAACCTGTTGGGGGCATCGTTCTTGGGGATCCGTGGCACATCAATTGGGTCATCAGTGAATTCATATTCCTGGATCTTGGGCTGAAGGTTTTTGGATTTAGGTCGCCCGGGGCCAGGGCCCGGTCCATGCCCTGCCTTCCCTTCCAGTTTCTGCTTCTTGGGCTTCCCATGTTTGGGGGGAGCCCCAAGCTCGTGGTCTCGACCCATCTTCATGAATCGTCGGTCACCTTTCTTATCCTGCCAGTCAGTGAGGATCTGAAATTCAAAGACTGTCACTGAGGGGGAGAAGGGAAGACACAGGACAACTCTTTTCCCGGTAAAGAATTAGGATCTATAACTTGAGGAGACGCCAAGGTCTTTTCCCCTCTCCTTTTTATTTAGTAAACTATTCATCCTTCAAACTCGCTCCTTTTCCTGTATCCATCTCGGGATTTTATTCATATACTTATCATTCTACCCATTTGTCTGTACTCTGATGCACTTCTGTAGAACTTAGCAGAAAGGCCAAATGACCCCAGTACATGTTAGCTCTGGGAAAATATGCTGGTGATAACTTTTTGGTGATGACAAATAAGCCTCCCAGCAAACCTTCACTTACAACATTAGGCTGAGCCTTTGCAAAAAAAGGAGAAAAAAATCTCTTAATCCTCACAAAAGCTCTGTGACAGGTCCTATTTTCCAGCCCTGTTTACAGATAGAGAACTGATACTCAGAAATAGAATGTAACTTTCCCAAAGCCACATAGCTGGAAACAGTAACACTAGCAAGTGCTTAGGCCAAGATTCAAAAGCAGGTTTCCTCATACCCGTAGTACCCCTAACCATAACATATCATCTGCTACTTGTCTGAACCCACCCTCCTTTTAGTTGGCAAACTCCCTGAAAGCCACAATTGTCCTAATGACCTCTCTCTAATGATTTGTAGAAGTATTAATCCTCACAACATACTGGAGGGTGGGGTCTGTGTGTGTGTGTGAATAAATGGTGAATTAAAAATCTTGCAATTTATGAGGATTACCCACCTTCCTGCGTATCACACAAGCCCAATTTGGGTCTCTCCTCCCCTCTCCAACCTCCTGTACCCCAGGCTTTAGCAGATGTGGCTAACTGAACGACCCACCCAGAACTTGTCACAGTCCATCCCTGGTGATGTCCCCTCTGTAGGGTATCACCTGGGTTTCAGCCTCCAACACTCGCAGGCGCCGGCTGGCAGAGGAAAGCAGGGTCTCAAGTTCCAGCTGCAGAGTGTCCAGCTCCTCGATGCCGATGCCATCATCCTCAGAGCGGGCCAGCACTGCCGTGTAGCGTGGACAAACTTTTAGGTGGTCCACAGACTTGAAGTCATGGAACTGCAAGGGGCAGTCCTTCAGTTCACTCATGGCCTAGGATACAGGACCCTGGGGAGCTGGAGAGGAGAGGGCCATTGATGGTAGATGAAACGGCACAAGAAAAGCCCAAGAGCTCACTCAATCGTGTGAGAGCATCAAGGAGAAAACCAGGCTTCAGTACCTTTTTGACAGGTTGATGGCACAGCTACTACTCACAGAGCACCTACTGTGCACCAAGCACAGGGCATCTTACCAGCTTCTCACTGAATTCAAACCCCTTGAACAGGAACCATGTGATCTCCATTTTACAAATAAGGAAACTGAGACTCTGTAAGGGGGTGCAGGCCCAAATTTACCAAAATGCAATTTGAACGCAAGTGGTTGTGCATCTGTGCGCCTCATCACCTTGATATACTTTGCCCTCTATTCCCGATGCTCTTCCCTTTTGCTCTACTCCTCCTGGGTTCTGCTAAGCCTCTGGGTTCCGAGCATCCCATTCTTACAGTGTGTTCGTTTTTGCCTCGCAGCATCGTCTGGTCTCACCCATCCCCACCTTTACCCCTCCCTGACAATGGTTAAGAATGTGGCTGGTAAGCCAGACATAACCAGGGTCCAAACCCAGGCTTTAACATTCTCTATTTATGTGACTGATCATTTTATTTAACCTTCCTGAGTCTCGGTTTTTCCATCTGTAAAATGGGGACCAGAGAAGTCTGGGTCTTGTTTCCTCGTAAGAAGTCAGAATCTGTAAAATGGGGATAACAACAGTACCTACCTCCCCGGGATGTTCTGAGGATTAAGAGATGATGCTCGTCAAGAGCCCAGTTCAGTGACTGGCACAGAAGTGGGACTGCTTAAAGGCTGTTTCCCCACCTCCCCACCCCGCCCCGTGGGTCGCCCCAATACCCCGCCTTCAGGGTCCTCGACGTCTCGGCACCCCCTAACGCGGCCCCCGCCCCCTCTCCCTCCTCACTCCAGCCACCTACGACCACCGGGTCGCGACAGGGGGCGGGGAGTTCCGGTTGGTGTATCCACCACCCGGAACTGGCTGCGAGCGGGCCGTGCAGTGGCCGCGGGGGCGGAGACACGGAAGGGCGAGGATTGCGGGGGAGGACTTGGCCGCCCGCTCGCCCGCTAGCCCACTGCCGGGGGGTGAGGGCTATGCCTCGGGTCTACCCTAGCGAGCAGCCGGGGCTGGAGGGCGGGGCTCGGCAGCCGGGTTTTCAGTCTGACGGTTAGTCTCGCCGAGCCCCTGGGGCCGGCGGTAGGAGGGGCCGGGAGAAAGGATGGGGGCGCAGAACCGGAAGAAGCGAAGGTCTCCGCTTAGCTTAGTCCAAATATGGTGCCCAACCTGCGGCAGGGCTGTACCATTGTATGACTATAGGGGGGGAAAGCGGCAAAGAAGCCAAGCAGGTTAGGGTCGAAAGCGAGAGCCTCATGGAGAACGGGAGGAGCTTGAGTATCTATATGAAACTTCAAGAGTTTGAAAAAAAGCAAGACAGGACCAGCGGGAAGAATCCCAAAGGACCAAGTGTTCCGAGGCTTGCCTTCCCCCGCCCGGAGCACAGGTGGTACGGTCCGGAAGTCTGGGCGGAGACTGCGGCTGCGCGGCTGGGAAAGGGCAGGCGGCCCGGGCCGGGCCACTTCCGTACTTCCGCTTTCCGGCCCAGCCAGCGCCCGCGATGGTGAGAGTGTCCTGCCAGGGACCCTCCCCCGTCCCCCCGCTTCGCCCCTCTGTTCTCCCTTGGCACTGTGGGTTTTGGGGGGGATACGGCTTTGCTGCGGAGAGGCCCGGGCCAAGGGATGCTGGGGGCGTTGGGGGCACGACGAGGCTGGGAGGAAGGGGGCGGGGTAGGGGCCGAATGAGGAAGGGGCCAGCGGGTGACGCCCTGGTAGGCAGCAGGGCTGGTGGCATCACGATCTGGCCCTCGGGAACAGGTAGAGAATACTCTTGATGCTTGGAGGGAGCCAGAAGTGGCTCTTCCTAGACTCGTGGTAGTGCCTCTCTGCACATAGTAGGCCAGAGGCCGTTGTAGGGGCTGAGGCGTACTGTAGTAGGGCCACTTCCCCACCCAGAATAGAAGAACTTCACTAAATACACTGCTCTGCTCCCTCCTGCGTGCTTGACCCCACAGTTTCCCAAGGGAAGCGTCCAGACTTCTGTATCCCATTCATTTCCTTACCCCTGCCGTGCTTCTACCTCTTATGCTGCCTCCACCCAAGCCCCTTCCTGGTCAGAACTTAACTGTGTTAGCCTTACTGTAGTGTGTAATATGTAAGATCGGGTACTGCCGATCTCTTCCTCCCTGGAGATCCTCCCGATCCCTTCCTCCCTAGAGATCCTCCAGATTGATAAGCGTTTCCAGAAGTTAAGTGATAAATATCTAGGCTGGCTTTCATGACCTTGTGTTTTATGGTGATTCCTGAATCTGCCTTCCTCAACCCTCAAAGGTTTGCCTGGATATCTAGAAGATACCTTGACATTCGGTCTCCAGAGCAAAACTCCATTTCTCTCCTAAAATTGCTTGTCCTCCTATGTTCCTTATACTGCCCATACCTCTCGATTAAAAAAATTTAAAAAAAAATCAAGTTTAATGAAATATTATGTGAGACTATTTTAATGGTGACAGGGCAGGCATCACTGGGTTGGTCATTTAAAATTTTTATTGCTAAGTATTTCATTGTGTTGATGGAACATAGTTTGTTGGGAGGTTGTTTTATTTCATAATTATTTACATCTTATGTCAGTCTAATCCCTGTGATACTCTCTGCTTGTCTCCTCCACAGCCCCAGTCCAGGCTCTCATCAGCACTCTTTTAGTAACGTCTCTGCCTTCTGTCTCACTTCCCTCAATCCATTCTCCATAGAGCCTCCATGCGGCTGTAGCTGTACAACTTCCCCTCAGATTTCCCCAGCAGTTTCTTACCACCATAAAGGAAAAGCTAACCTCGGTAGCCTGGCATTTGAGATTCTCCATGAATCTCCAGGCTATCATTGCAGCCTCCTTTACTAATTCTAAAATATTTTTCAGATACAGCAGCATTGTATTCATTACTACTTCTGGAACTCTTTAGTACCCTGTTGTGTTATCCTAACTTTGCTTGTTATTTCATTCATTCATTCATTCATTCATTGTACAGGAAATGAATAAGGCACTATATCGGGGTGGGGCAAAAATAGGTTTACAGTTCATGTGGAAAATAATACATTAATAAATAATAATACAAGAACAAACTCTTGTATACTCACACTGTAAACCTACTTTTGTCCCACCCTGTATGTTAGGAACTAACTGAGCTAGGTGTAGGCTATGTAGATTTGACTAAAATAGACATGGTCTGTTGATCATGAGGCTTGCAGTCTAGAGAAGGAGAGATCACTTTACTAAAGATGTGTGAAGAATATGTTTCTGTAAATTGTAAGAAATGCTTTGAAGGGCAAGTCAAGAAAGAGTTCTCTGAGGAAGAGCCCTCCGTCCTCTGAGTAAACCAATATCTGAAGGATGACTTAAAAGAGGATACAAAAGCCTTCAGATAGATAATTCTATCTGTGAAACCCTGGGGTGAGAAATGAACTTGGCTAATACTAGGAAATTAAGATAAGCCAATGTAGCTAAGGCTGATCCTTCTAGTGGGAAAGCCCTTGTTCTTTTTCTCATTGTAAAATTCTAATCCTTTTCCATCTTCAAATCGAAACCAATTTCTTTTACAAATATAAATTTAGTTATGTCAGTTATCCTTTCAGGGGTCTTCAAACTACGGCCCGCGGGCCACATGTGGCCCGCAGAGGAGTCTGATCCGGCCCGCCAGGTTTTTTGGGCAGTGAGCTCAGCCAAGGTGTTACAGTAGGAATTAGTAGTTCATATAGTCCGGCCCTCCAGCTCTCTGAGGGACCGTGATCTGGCCCCCACTTTAAAAAGTTTGAGGACGCCTGCAAAGCATAGTTTTTCCTCCCCATTGAACTATTTAAGAATAGGGATGTTTTGGGGGTTTTTTCTTAAATATATTTTATTGATTTTTTTTTACAGAGAGGAAGAGAGAGGGATAGAGCATTAGAAACATCGATGAGAGAGAGAATCATTGATCAGCTGCTGCTTACACACCCTCTACTGGGGATGTGCCTGCAACCAAGGTACATGCCCTTGACAGGAATTAAACCTGGGACCTTTCAGTCCGAAGGCCATTGAGCCGAACCGGTTTTGGCAAGTAGGGATGGTTTTAATCATCTTAAATTTCCAGCACCTAGCTCAGAGCTTGGCACATAGTAGACATCCATTTGTTGGTTTAAAAGATAGAGGACAGTCATTCACCTGCATGCATCTATACCAGAGTTTCTCAACCTCAGCACTATATGGGACTGAATAATTCTTTATTGTGCATTGTAGAATGTTCAGTGGTATGTCTGGCCTCTTATCTACTCAGTGCCAATAATGCCCCATCCCAAGTAGTGCCAGTGAACAATGTCTCAACATTGTCGAGTGCCCCTGGCAGGCAAAATGGTCCCCTGTTGAGATCTGCTCAGGAAATGAGAATGGTAGGCACCTTTACTTTGGTGTCTTAGCCCAGCTCAGTACGGTCTGACTCCTGAGTAGCTAAAGCACGGGGCCAGTGGGTTTGTGAAATAGATGCTGATCCTCGGGTTTTTTCCTACAGACTGCCACTCTCCGTCCCTACCTGAGTGCCGTGCGGGCCACATTGCAGGCTGCCCTCTGCCTGGAGAATTTCTCCTCCCAGGTTGTGGAACGACATAACAAACCGGAGGTTGAAGTCAGGTAGGGAAGAAAAAGGTCATGGTGGGGTGATGGGTGCAGCTCAGAGATGGCTAGAATGTGCCATGAACTTCCATTCTGGAGTTGTCAGGACAGCAACTTTTTTGTTTTGCTGCCAAATGAACAGTAATTTCTAATTTGGAGTTCAGAAAATGGGGTCAGTGGGTTAGCAGGGCACAACCCAGGGGAGAAGCTAGTCTGGTGCAAAGATTGCTTGGCACGGGTATGACTTCTCAGATAGAGCTATTCGTGAAGTATCTCCTGTGGTATGAACCCATGGGCAGTTTGAGAGGATAGAGAGTTTAGTTATCTGAGATGCTGTCTCCATTCTTTTCTAATTTAAACATCAAGGATGATTTTTTTTTTTCCTCCCAGTCAACCTGGACTCTTTCATCTCCAAATATTCTGCATTTTGGGATATATTTTCTCTCTCTTTTTTTTTAATATATATTTTATTGATTTTTTACAGAGAGGAAGGAGAGGGATAGAGAGAAACATCGATCAGCTGCCCCCGTAAACCAATATCTAAAGTTACCACATTATGTTGATACGATTTAAAAATTTAAAAATTAATAAAATGTTAGCATGTGCCATGTTACGTTACTTAACACATATGGTTTCGAATAGGCATTTAAAAATATATATATTTTTATTGATTTCAGAGAAGAAAGGAGAGGGAGGGAGAGAGAGAAATATTAATGCTAAGAGAGAATCATTTATCAGCTGCCTCTTGCACGTTCCACACTGGGCATCGAGCCCAAAATCCAGGGGTGTGCCCTGACCGAGAATTGAAATGTGTGACCTGGTTCATGGGACAACGCTCAACCACTGACCCACACCAGCTGGTCTCTAATAGGCATTTTAATGTGACAACAGCTCACAGACACTACCACCACAGTTGATTACCATTACATAGATCTAGGGATGCAGAAGCCTGAAAATGGGACCAGAGCTAAGAGGGATCTTATTGCTGAATAAATGAATCATTAGGGATTGATAATTAAAATGCCAGACTGAGTTAGTTTATCCTTTTCTCCAAGGCATCCTTTCCCTTTTCATTCCTTAAATGGAATGTGAGTTTGCCTGTATTAAAGTAAGAGCTGTCCTCCTACTATCTGCCAGGCATGCTATTGGACACTTGACCCCTTTTTTTCTCTCTCAGTCCTTGCCAGTGAAACAGAAGCCAGTCATTTACAGATGAGAAAATTGAGATTCCAATAGGGTAACTTGCCCAAGGAAAATAACAGAGGAGGCTGGATTTCAAAACCTCTTTGCCCTGACTCCAGAGCCTTGCCATTGGAGAGTACACACACTGGCCCCATCTTGGAGCAGCCCTGCTTGTGCGTCTCCTGTTCCTTGGACTCTGGTCTCAGGAAGTGATTTCAGGACCTGTGTGGGGTCTCCCTGAGCATTCTGTTCTCTAGTACAGAGCCTTTGTGACGTTGTGTTTCAGGAGTAGCAAAGAGCTCCTGTTACAGCCTGTGACCATCAGCAGGAATGAGAAGGAAAAGGTTCTGATTGAGGGCTCCATCAACTCTGTGCGGGTCAGCATTGCTGTGAAACAGGTGAGCTCA